GTGGGAAATATCAGAAAGGGAGACAGAACATAAGAGACTTCTAACTCTGGGAAACGAACAAGGGATGGTGGAAAGGGAGGTGGGCGAGGGGTGGGGGTGAATGGGTGACGGGCACTGAGGGGGGCACTTGACGGGATGAGCCCTGGGTGTTATGCTATATGTTGGCAAATTGAACTCCAATAAAAAAAAAAAGATTCTACAGAAAAGCAAGTGAAGGGGAAGGGTCGGCTTCAAGAACGAGGAAAAGAAAAATTTCAGTTTAAAGTCAAGCTTTCCTGAAAGACAAGTATGTTCATCTTCATTCTCATCCATCTTTACCTTTCTATAGGGGTTTCACTTCCAGTCCATGAACAAGCAAGGCTCTGAATTTCTTAGCTGAAATATCAAGCCCAAGACTCCATCCTGGTTATACCGGCTCTTAGAGCAGGGACATGGCCCTTCCCTTTGTCAGGCAGTTTCTTCTGCTTCATTATATTAAAGTCTCTGCCCTAGGAAGAGCCCATGCTTCTAATATAACATTCAATGGTGTCTAGGCATGTTTTTTAAACCTCCCAGCACAAGTGTATGGCTGCCTTTACGTGCAATGACAAGTTCCTCTGTTTTTTTTTTTTTTTTAAGATTGATAATCCTGATCTAAGCCAATGAGCCACTCAGGTATCTCAAGTCCCTCTTTTTGAATATTCACTCTAAGCCCCAAATGGAAAGAACCAGCTCACCCCCGTTCAGGGAGTCTTTGGAAGTTATTCTTCACGATCTCCTTATTTGCTGCAAATAAAGTTTTTTGTGTATGACAATTCCATCGGATATAATCTTTATCTGTAATTCATGTTAGTTTGGTTACAATAGGTTTTTGCTTAATAATATAAATGATTTATGTGTAATATGACCTTCCAAAGGAGATCGTATGTAAACTGTCTTATGATCTGTGAATAGCATAATTTTATTTTTTCTTGTCATATCTGCATAACTTTATTATATAGATTAGAACTTCCAGTAAAATGTAGGACCTGCTGTAAATTTTTTTGAAAAAAGATTTACTTATTTATCCCAGAGAAAGAAAGAGTGAGGAGAGGGGCAGAGGTAGAGAATCTTAAGGAGACTCCCCACAGAGACCCACATGGGGCTTGATGTCAGGGCCACAAGATCATGACCCAGGCCAAAACCAAGAGTTGATCACTCAACAGACTGAGCCACCTAGGTGTCCTTGACCTGCTGTAACTTTTAAAAAGACAGCCAATTGAATATCACAAAAATGTAAGTAACAATGTCAGGATGATATTTTCTACTACCTATCGTGACATTTGTGTATCTGTGTCTTTTTAGCAGACAGATCAATTAGTTATACAATTGAAGCAGGGTGATACTAACTAAGGAATTCAGGTCTTCAAGTATAATTTAAGCAGAGTCCTCTGAAGACTTTCTGGGAAAATAAGAATGCATAAAATTCTTCTTTGAATTAGTATCATATATCTAGGTAAAGTCTAATCTTTATCCATTGCTATATAAACAAAAGAATATAGACTTTTTTTGTTCTTATGAATATTGACTTCTTATTGTGGACTTCTGATGAAGCTATCCCATACTGAAAAGTCCAGACACTTTACTCTTCCAGAGCTCAAAGAACTAATTCACTGTGTTTTGCCTATTTGGTTACTATTGAGCTAGTCCTATTGGAAAAGTCTTTTTGTAAATCCTATGCTTATTCCAATGCATATATTATAGTATATTAGGAAATACTTAAATACATACATGTTCAGGTACTTTGGGACAAGTTTTCTTCAAATGAAAAGCTAGCATTATGTTTAAAGAAGTGTCTTTAAATCTTCAACCCTTTTTTAAAAAAGATTTTATTTATTCATGAGACACACACACACACACACACACACACACACACACACACAGGCAGAGACACAGGCAGAGGGAGAAGCAGGCTCCATGCAGGGAACCTGACGTGGGACTCAATCCCGGTCTCCAGGATCACACCCTGGGCTGAAGGCAGCGCTAACCCCCTGAGCCACCTAGGCTGCCCAACTCTTTTTATGTAAAACAAGGAATCTCCACAGTAAAGGGTCAGGAAGTAAGGGCTCTGCCATCCTACAATGAGCTTTATAATCTTACAAGAAACTTATTTCATGGGAATAATTAAACAGTAGGTTTCATTCTTTAAATTTTATTATGTGATCTGTGCAAAGAATCAGGATAAGAATGAGGGAAAAATTGAGAGAGAAATCTTTCCACTTCATTCTGAAAATAATATGGTCACATTCAAATCTCAAATGTGGTGAGTTGATAACAATCTACATTTTGATGTTGATATGCAGCTTTTACTCCATGTCTAATTTCTCACAGCATAACCCACTATGAAAATTATTAACGGGAAACTTCACTACAACGGAGTTGGGAGGTTTCCATAGGATGAGCTCTCACATTCTAATACTCTAGTCAGTTGCAGACCCAACAGGAAGAGTTAGGTGTGATCTTACACAGACTTGACCTTGCACATGGATACTACTCTACTACTACAGTCTGAGGAACAGAGGCTGTCTTCATCCACAGCTCCCTCAATCCCCACCCCAGCAACAGCTCCATCAATGAAAAGCCATCACACTGAACTCCGTTTCCTCCAATGGACTTTTAGTACTAATAGCCTTCCCAACATACCCCTTTTCTCCTTAAAAAGTGCAGTTCTCCTTTGTTCCTTCGATTTGTCTAAAATTTTGCCACAATTTGTCCTGGATTGTAATTCTCTTTTGTTCCCCCCAAAACTCATTTTCTTTTTTTTTTTTGCTGTCAAAATAACTGGCAATGTCTATTTTTAAGGTTAACACCACCATTTAGACATCTAACAGAATCAGACATCTCTTTTCTTGAATAGCCTACACTTTGACTTGGAAATATCTATTTCCTAGAAGATACAGACTAGTGATTCTCTAACAAATGCAGTGCCAATGTTCAAATATTCTTTAGTCTACTTTTGATCATCCTTCTAAATCACCAATTTTATAAATCATCAATTTCATGAATGATCCTGGCTCTCAGACTCATCTTTGATTTTTAGCATGTTGATGAAATTAACTCAATGGGGCAGATCGGTTCCAATATAAATCCATGGTGTCAACTGTTAAAGGGTCCTCATCCCTGACTTCTACTTCTACTTCCTTTCATTGGTCTTCTGCTTTGTACATTCTTTCTGCTCCTCAAATCTCTCACTGACTTCACCTTTCTTCCCCTCACTCTCAGTGGATGACCTAACCTCAGTATCTACAGAAAAACACTGAAGCCTTCTGATGAGAATTTTCTCATTTTACTACACAAAACAAAACAAAACAAAACTTTTTTTTGTTTATTTTGTTATTTGAGTTCGATTTGCCAACATACAGTATAAATACAAAACTTATATACTCTTATTTTTCTTATTCCATGGTATTAAAGGTGATGGATAATTTCACTATTGTTGCTAAAGATCTCATGCACTCAATACCAAGTGGGGTACATAGATATTAGGTGGATTTTTGGCCTCAAAGGAGAAGCTAGGGTCTCAAAGCACCAAATTAAGGTTGTGCCCTTGAGGAACAAAGACTATTTTGATGAGTTATTCAGAATTATTTCTAAAATGCTCTAGAGAATATGCTGGAGAAATACATTATAAATGTTTCCACCTTGTTTTGACAAAATACAGTAGTCAACTTTTACAGGTAGGTCATTTTCTACATTTCTTCACTAAGAATATATTTGTTCTTTTGTATGAAGATGAATATCCCACCAATGTAGACAAAATTAACTTCATCAAATGTACTTGATTTTTCTATTGATATGTTAATATTTTATAGCTTCTCTAAAAAATCAATTATATGTAAGCCCTTCTGATGTATATGTGAAAACTAAATAAAAATAGCTTTAGGTATAGTTCTTGGGGTGCATTGTCTTCCAGTCATACCTTATTTTCATAAAGTATTGAGAGATTGTGGCTCCAACTGGAAGCTAAGGCCACATTAAAACATCATCTGTGCTTTCCAAAACAAATATGTTCATATATGTGTTAGTTGCTAAAAAAATGGAAACAAAAAACTCCATATTCTTCTCCTACTTGGTTTCTTTATTTACTGTTGAAATTATACTTTCTTCAAAGAACCTTCTCCGAATGTTTATCTAAAAGCATCCTACCTTCATTTTTCTTCATAGTACTGGCTTCTAACTGATATGACATTCTATAGCTTTGTCTATGTGGTAATATCTGTTCCTTCTCCTACAATATATGATTCATGAGGATGGGGAATTTGTTCAATTCTGTAAACCCAGAACTTAGAACGGAAAAAAATGTTCTCAGTGTACATGTACATGTATATGTATATGTATATGTGAATGAGTAAATTCACTAAGCAGAGAGAATGATTCTTCAGTACCTTCTTAGTCATATAGTAAAAGGTAAATTTACTAATTCAATGGCTTCTGAATAAAATTAAGACAGACCACTATGGATATCAGGTGAAAATGTTGTACTAAATATTTCTGTTATTTTGTATCTGAAAGATACCAGATCTGGAGGGACCCTCAAAATCCAACTTCCTTTATTTTTCCATTTGAATTATACCAATCACCTGCTGCTTTTCTTATCTGCTTTAAACTCCTATACTTTTCACAAAATTTGAAAAAACAAAACAAAACAAAAACAAAACAAAACCCAAATACGGAGTCCTCCAAGAAGGCAAGAATGAATGTGATTCTATACACACACACACACACACACACACACACACACACACACACACACAAGTGAGAACAAGAGCAAGAGTGAGAGAGAGATAAAGAGAAAGAGGTAACAGAGATACAGGACAAAAATATTTATGTAGATGTTATGATGAGTTTGTTAAAAGAGATGAGAGATTTCCTAGTAATATATGAATGAGTAAATGATAAAAATGGATGGAATAAATGCAGAATCTGGATTAGACAGGATCCCTCACCTTCTCTGCTACTCTCAATTTTCAAGGAATAAGAAAATGTCTTCCTCGAACCACACTACAGTGACGGGATTCATTCTTTTGGGACTCACGGACGACCCAGTACTAGAGAAGATCCTGTTTGGGGTGTTTCTGGTGATCTATCTAGTCACGCTGGCAGGGAATCTGTGCATGATTGTGCTGATCGGGACCAATTCCCACCTGCAAACTCCCATGTACTTCTTCCTTAGCCACCTCTCCTTTGTAGACATTTGCTATTCCTCCAATATCACTCCAAACATGCTGTACAATTTCCTCTCAGACCAGAAGACCATCTCCTATGCTGGATGCTTCACGCAGTGTCTTCTCTTCATTGCCCTGGTGATCACTGAGTTTTACATCCTTGCTTCAATGGCATTGGATCGCTATGTAGCCATCTGTAGCCCTCTACATTACAGTACCAGAATGTCCAAGAACATTTGCATCTCCCTAGTGGTGATCTCTTATACTTGTGGTTACCTTAATGGACTCTCCCAGACACTGTTGACTTTTCACTTGTCCTTCTGTGACTCCCTTGAAATCAACCACTTCTACTGTGCAGATCCTCCTCTTATCCTGTTGGCCTGCTCTGACACCCATGTCAAAAAGATGGCGATGCTTGTAGTAGCCGGCTTGACTCTGTCAAGCTCTCTCTTCATCATTGTGCTATCCTACCTTTTCATTATTGTAGCCATCTTGAGGATCCGTTCTGCTGAAGGCAGGCACAAAGCCTTTTCTACTTGTGCTTCCCACTTGACAATAGTCACCTTATTTTATGGCACCCTCTTCTGCATGTACTTAAGGAGTCCATCTGAAAAGTCTGTAGAGGAGTCCAAAATAATTGCTGTCTTTTATACATTTTTAAGCCCAATGTTGAACCCATTGATTTATAGTCTAAGGAACAAGGATGTGATCCATGCTATGCAGCAAATGATTAAGGGAAATCTCTTTCATACAATTGAAATTTGGGTCTCTGTTAATTTGAAATGACTAGTTGTCTGTAATAACATGGTGATTAGAAATAAATAACAGAGAAGTCCTACCTCTAATAGAGGCCCTGTTCCAATTTCTTTTTAAGATCATCATCATATAGTTTGTGGGTCATTCCTTTAAGTTATAATAAACTGTCTTGTTTATTCAGCAAGGGTTGCATTCCCATATCTAGCAATTAAAAGGTGCTGATATCCAGATTTAGATTCTTAATTGAAAAATGTATTTGAGATTCGTTGTAAAAGCACTGTGTATTTTGTCTCAATAATCATATGCTTCCTTTTATTTTATAGTTCTGAGAACTACTGTGGCTTCCAGGAACCAATCTTTAAACTCAATCTTGGCAAGTCTTTTAAACCAAATGGTTGACCTATTTGTAGTCTTTCTTTTTAATCTATTTACTTAGATTGAATAAATAGTGAAGGCCACCTCAGAAATTCTTTAGAGATAGGATACAGCACAAATAAACATGCACAAAAAACCCTGTGTCACTCAAGTATAATTAATAGTCACTTTTAAATCTTTATTTATTTATTTATTTATTTATTTATTTATTTATTTATTTATTTATTTATAGAAGGAGAGCTTGAACAGTGGGAAGGACAGAGGGAGAGAAAGAATCTTCAGGTTCCACGCCCAGCATGGAGCTCAATGTGGGACTTAATCCCACAAACCTGAGACCATGACCTGAGCTGAAATCCAGAGTTTGACCCTTAACTGACTGAACCCTCGAGGTATCCCATCAATATTTACTTTAATTCTCATACTTAAATTTGTGAGAAATTTATTATCTTCATTTATAACATTTGGAGTCTTAAGCACAGAGAGATTAAATGACTTTCTATAGTTATTCGGCCACTAAGTAGCAAAAAGGTAAATCCCTCGGATCCAAATTCTCTTTCCAACTCACTGTGGTTAAACTCAGTGCTGGGGGTGGACTGTGTTGGGTATAATGAGGGGATGAGCTTACTGCTCCACGTGAAATGTTGGTGATTATGAAGAGAGTGTAACATGAACTGTTGAATTCCTCTGACATTTTAGGTAAACATGATAATTTGTGTGCAAAGAAGAATTATCTTACTGTTTTATGTAAAGCAGACAATTTTGATATATAGTAGATTTTTAGACTGTGTTTTATGAATATATTTTCCAGATTATAAAAAGCACATATGTTCTTTATGAATAACTGGAAAATACAGACAGATGTTAAGAAATAACTTGCATTAGTGATATCTTAACCAATGGATAATTTATGTGTATGTTTTTCCATATTTCTTCTCAGTGATTTTATATGCATGTGTATTATGATGATTCATAAAACAAAATTGGAATCATATGCCAAATGCAAATATGAATGTTGATTTTCACTTGATAATGTAATGTTTGTGTTTCATATAGACTAAATAATTTTGGTGAACACATTTTTAATTAATTTTAATACTTTATAATAATTAAGTTATCCTTGAACTTAATTATGAAAATAACATGTTGATCATAGAAAAGCAAATTGGAAAATACTGAAATATCTGGAGCACCTGAGTGGCACAGTCAGTTAAGTGTCCAGCTCTTGTTTTCAACTCAGGTCATGATCTCAGGGTCATGAGATTGAGCCCAGTGTTAGGCTCTGCACTCAGCAGAAGTCTGATTGAGATTCTCTGTCTCTCTTCCTCTTCCTCTGCCCCTCCTGCTTGTGCTCTCTCTTCCTTTCTTTCTCTAAAATAAATAAATAATAAAAAGTACTGAAATATCTATGGAATAAAAGCAAAATTTACCTATGATCTTTTATCTAGAGATAGCTGCTTTCAACATTTTAGTGTATTTTCTTCCATTTGGTTTATCTTGCAAATCATAATTCCATCATATCTATGAATCCTATTATTTTTAAGACTGACTGATATCTTTATGTACATATCCTCTGATTGTTTTTTAGGATTAGTCTTAGAAGTGTAATTGTTGAATTAAATATTTTGAACATTTTTAAAGCTCTAAGTTTTTTATAGATAAATTTTTCTCTAGAAAGCATCAGCCATTTATATTTATTACTAGTCATATTTGAGAGTAAACATCCCACTGTATTGTTATTAATATTAGGAAATATCCACTAAGGGTATTTCCTTCTTTCTATCTCAATAGAAATTCTTAGGAAAGGAATCTGTTTTATTTTAACAGAGGAGTATTTGAAATATATATTTAGCAAGTAAAGGGAATACATCAGTTTTCTGATTCCCTTTTATTTTATTTCTGACGATTCCTCATATGAAGAATATTTACATTTTTATTTAGAAAAAATTTATTGTTTTTGGTTTTGTAGATTTTCTCCACCTTATATTAAATAAAGAGGTATTTAATAATATTATATTTTTATTACCATATTTTATAGCAGTATCTTGAATTACTCTGGATAAAATTCTGTTATACTTTATAATATTGTTTGTACTCTTTTCCTTACATTTTTAAATCATGTTTTTCCTACTAGGTGTTAAATTACCCTTTTTTTCCCCTTGTTTTGTGACATCACTTTTATTGTACACTAAGTGAATCTATTTCTGGCCAATTCTACTCCTTTGACCAGTTTATACATATGTTTTAAACCAAATTCACATAATTAATATAGATTTTTTGAAAGTGTTAATTTCTGATAAATCCCATCATTACTATCTTTTAAATTTATAGTAGAATAATGCAAATCAAATGCTTCTAACTATCTAAAATTTTTAACCCAGAAATTATGCATATTGTTGCTCAATCTGAATAGCAGAGGGACATGTACATATGAAAATCAAATATGGTTATATTTATAATACATATTCCTTATAAATTATTTGAAAAATATGGAAAAATATTTTAGTCTTCGTATTTTTATAACTTGGTCCCCACATCTGATGGAATCGTGGCCATTGAGAGGTCTATTTCTGGATGAAAGGCTATGGGTAGGTTAAAATTTTTTTCCAGAAAGGCAAAGAAATCGTCTGGCTTATAAATGAGGGGCAAAACATTTAACTTTGGCATATTTGTTAACATTTTTACACATTTATTTTTGCACCAAACCAGTGTCCATAATGCAAAATTATTTTTCAGCAAAGATATCTAAATACAGACTTTTATCCCCAACTAAATTGTCCTTTGTCAGCAACTGTCCTCCAAAAGACTGATGTGCCCACAATAATCCTCAATTGTGTCATTTAAAATGCTGAAAGGAGGGGGGATCCCTGGGTGGCTCAGTGGTTTAGTGCCTGCCTTTGGCCCAAGGCCCAATCCTGGAATCTCAGGATCGAGTCCCACATCGGGCTCCTGGCATGGAGCCTGCTTCTCCCTTCTCCTGTGTCTCTGCCTCTCTCTCTCTCTGTCTATCATAAATAAATACATAAATCTTAAAAAAAATGCTGAAAGGAGGGCAGCCCTGGTGGCACAGTGGTTTAGCGCTGCCTGCAGCCCAGGGCGCGATCCTGGAGACCCTGGATCGAGTCCCACGTCAGGCTCTCTGTATGGTTCCTGCTTCTCCCTCTGCCTGTGTCTCTGCATCTCTCTCTCTCTCTGTCTCTATGAATAAATAAATAAAATCTTAAAAAACAAAAAAATAAAATGCTGAAAGGAAAAAACAAACTATGTTGATTTTAATTAAAATAAATATTAAGCTTTTAAATAATCAGAAGGAAATATTTCTGAGGTCATTTGGAGTAGAGGAATTTATAATGGAAGAGTTACTTGAATATGACGATAAAATTACCTAAAATTAAGGAGCATATTATATTTTGGAAAGCATTTGTCCCAGATAAGATAAAGTGGTAAACAAGATATGATTCAAAGTACTGAAACACTGTCATAGTCTACATAAATACTGAAGGCTATGTATAGAAAATTGATAAAAATGCTAAAATTAATGAGTAAAAATATGAAATAAGTGCTCCAGTTGCCAACTTTCCAACTTTGTACCTAAAATGCAACAATATGTTAAGGTACTGGAACTGATGTTTACCTTTTTTTATAGGCACTCTACCATTCAAATAGCATGGAGAATTGGAAAACTTATCAGTTTTGTCTAGATAGGTTTTCTTTATGATGAGTTGACGCTTACTCCAGAGAGCCAATTCTTAAATATTCAGGTTTGCAATATGGCCAGGGTGGCAGTATTTATAAGAATGAAACTGGCAAATGCTACTATCAGAACTCCATCCAGCTTACCATTATACCAGTGGTTTATCCTTCCAGTATTTATCAGGTTTGTCTTACATAGTTTGTAGTTCAAGGGATCTTTGTCCTAAATGACTATAAGTAAACCTAAGGCAAAAATCAGTCACCAATAAATAGTGATAATTTCAAACAAAAATATTTGAAATAAGATACTTTTGTGTATTTGTATTTGAGTTCAAAAAGATTAGCATGTTCTACATTATGGGTGTTGAGAAAACGATGTTTTTCTGGAAATCAATTTAACATTATGATTTCAGGAGCATTATTTTTTTAAGATTTTATTTACCCATTTGAGAGAGTCATGGCAGGGAGGTAGGGAGGTGAGGGGCAGAGGGAGATGGAGAGAAGCAGACTTCCAGCTAAACTGGAAGCTTATCCCCCACCCCATTGCAGGACTGGATCTGAGGACCCCGGGATCATGACCTTGGCCAAAGGCAGACTCTCAACCAGCATCTCCTGTCTTAGGAGTCTTAAAAAATATTTGTATAATTTTAGTCAGGTTTCCAATTTTAAGAATGTACCAAAGCCATAATAAAACACTTGAGTGAATATTTTCATTGTAATGTTGTTTTATAATTGAGAAAAAAGAAAGGAGTGTCTATGGGATGCAGGTTGCCCTCACTTGGCATAGGATTGTTTTAACTGAAACTTGTGCTGCATTTGAATGTGCTCTGCTTTGCATGAATCTCAATTGCCATTACTGTCTGCATTCTGTAACAGGCACAAGCCAAAGCTCCTGACAGAGCAGGAGCTGGCTGTAACCAAAGCCTTTGCAAGAGAGTGTTGGCTGTGGTCATAAAGGAGAGTTT